CGCTACTTCACAGTCAGGGTGGCTAGGATCTGGAACCAACTTCCAAGAGAAGTGGTGCTGGCCCCTACCCTGGGGGTCTTTAGTATGAGGTTAGATGAACCCATTGCTGGGGTCGTTTGACCCCAGTAATCTTTCCTGCCATGGCAGGGGGTCAGACTAGATGAACTACTCAGGTCCCTTCCAACCCTAGAAACTATGAAACTATGAACCCATATAACTCAAAGGGTAAAAACTCAAAGGGGTGCCTACTGCATTGCAAACAGCAGGAGAGGGTAACATCTGATCCTGTTTACGGGTGGGTTTCTGCCACAGTTTTTAACATACGTTTCAGGGTATGATTAAACTATTCAGCCAACCAGTCAATTTGAGGGTGGTATACTGTACTGAGGTTTTCAGGTGCTTAATTCCTAGCATTTTACTTACCCCTAAAATACATGGGACATGCAATTGGTTCCCTGGTCTGTCAGTAGTTCTCAGGGGAGTCCTACCCAAGAAAACAGTTTCAATAAATTCTTCTGCTACCTTCAGTGTGGTCAAGGTCCACATGGGTACCAGGTCACATAGTCCATGATATTCAAAATATGCTGGTACTCTGTACTGCTCTTTGGTAGCGGGCCCACAGTGTCCATGGCCACCTGTTCAAAAGGTGTCTCAAATCAGCAGGAAGGGAACCAAAGTTGCCCTGGACAGGTAGCTGGGCACTGCCTTCTGGCACATGGGGCATGAGGTACAATAGTCTTTTACTAAAGCAACCCTGGCCAATAAATATCTCTCCTGAATTCTAGTCCATTTCATCTCTCCCGAGATATCCTTCCATGGTCAACTTGTGGGCAACTTTTAGTAAGACCCTTTGGTACCATGAGGACACCAGTAGCTGTTCCACCTCCTCTCCTATTCCCGCCCCCCATCCTATAAAGGAGGTCATCCCAAACATTGAATCCCAGGGTTGCCTCCATCAAGTCTGGATGCAACACCTCCCCATTACACTGGGCCAAGTGCTAACAGAACACATGCTGAAATCCCTCCTCTTGGCTTTGTTCCACTTGAAAATGTTTGTCTTTCAGAAGGGCACCAATATCCACCATTGGTGTTGAGTCAGGGGTTTTCCTGACTAACCTCTCCACTCAGGGTCCTTGAACCTCCTCCCTTTCTCCAAAACCACCTCTTATTCCTTTCCACAAACCACAGTTGAATTCAAAGGGAGAAAGCACACCAGCTTTAAAATAAATTTAACCTACTCTAGGTATAGCAAATGACCATGATAGCGTGCTATCTTGCAGCAGGACCTCCCCTTACCCAGGACTGTATTCCTCCATAAGGGACCAGTATTCTGCTGGTAGCTCTTGGAGCAGCTCTGAAGTGACCCTAGCATAAAGCTCTTCATCCCCTAGCTTGCAGAGGTAGACTCCTTGCTTGGCTGAGCTCCAGGTGGCTCAAGCCCTGCCCACCTTTGGTCAGGTGCCCTGTCAGCTGGCCCACCCCCAGGGCTTTTAATTAACCCCAGTCTTGCTGGCTGCCTTTGGCTGGTTCACAAAAACCTTCCCTTGAAGGGCCATTCCACCTTTTATTTTTTTTAACAGGGTAAGGGTTCCCTGTTATACCTGCCAATCTGGATTGCCTGCCTGGGCAACTGCCCTTTGGCCCAATTTAGAACTGGCCCCAAATAACTGCTGACACCAATGGGGGCTTTGACTTCTAAGGGCTTGACTGCTGGAATCTGCATTTGCCCTGAGAGTGATGATGATTTCCCTGTTTGTTGTCCCATCTGCTCTCCCTCCCATTCCTGATGTCTCTGGCAACCCCACAGCATGCGGCGCATATACATGATCAACAAGGAAGTGTGCTCTCGCATCATCTGCAAGGAGAATGAAGTCATGCAAGGTGAGAGGTTGGGGTGAGGCAGAGGTCTCTGTGGAGGGGAAATCGCCTTATCCCTGTCTGCTCTGCTGCATATGAGCCACTGAATAGAACAGGAGTTGGCAAAATACGCACCGTGGGAGACCTGCCTGGGACCCCCTGCAGACAGTGCATGTTCAGCTGGGCAGATGGGATGGGGCCATGGGGCAGGTGAGGATCAGCATCTGGTGAGGCCCCACACCACCCACCCACAACAACCCATCCTAACTCAAGTGGTCTCCAGCCCAAATAATTGCCCACCCCTGGAATAGAGTCTGCCAGGGACATTACTAATTGGGTGATCCAGAGGCTTCTGTGATGTTGTTGTGGGGGAAGCTGGCCTTCAAGCAGCCTGGGACTCAGCTTCCAGCCCTCCTACCAGTCCTTTCACCTGCCCACTGACCTTAGCTCCTTAGCAGGTAACAGTTTGGACCCCACTCCTGTCCTCTGATCTTGGGACTCCATCCCAGTAGCCTAGACTGCCCTGCCAGCAGAGAGGGACCTGCTGCAATGGCCTTTTTGTACAATCATGCCTTTCCCTTTGTCCCCCCCCACCCCAGTGACAATCTGTCCCCTGGATACAGTCTAATCCTCTCAAGTCACTGTTCTTGAGCACATTTCCAATCTAGAAGCATATGACTGACAGGCCCTCCCCCATCCTGGCCCTACATCCAGCATCTGCTTCCAGGTGTCCTGTCACCTGTCAAGCTGCCCTGGGCTATCGCACCATGTTTTCATCAACTTGGCTGCTCCAGGCAACCCTCTGGAGCTGGAGTCTGAGTCTGACTACTGAGTCTGCTGCAGGCCAGGCCTCAAGGATTGTAGACCCTTCTCTGCTGACAGTTCAGGTCCCAGGGCTTGGTTTGATCTCTTACAAAGATAGGAAGCAGCTGCAAAATCCAGCCATGGGTCCAGGTCTTATCTACCCTGGGGACTTGTCATCACCACTGCAATATTAGCAGGTCAGGAGCCAAATATGATTCATTTGAGCAAGTTCTTGCAATAGGTTTTAAAGGTTCTTTACCCAGAATTTCCATGGTGTTCCCATAAATAAGGGATCAGATTGTTTAAATTCTGGGCAAGTTCTTACTCCAGAGCAAGCTGGATAAATCTACCTAAACTTCTCTGACGGTAAAAGAGGAGCCCATAGCTTTCCCAGAAGATAGCCCATGGTTTTATCTCAGTCTTTACTCTGACTAGGCTCCTGGCAATATCAGCATGTATTGCATCGGAGTGATGGCGGAATGAGCTTTAGATGAAGGCCTTGCGGTCTGCTCCCTATCTCTTTCTGACCCAGACCTGGGCATATGAGCAGTGCAGATCTGTAGGTCTTCTGATTTTCATGCTGAGGCCCTAACTTGATCCATGCGTGTGTCTGCTCTGTCCTCAGAGGAGCTTTGCCGCCAGCTGGCTGGTCTCCCACCTCGACGCCTACGCCGTTCCGGCCGGCCCCTGGGCCCTCCCTGTCACCTGCCCCAGGACCAGCAACTGCGGAAGCTCAATGCTGTTTGAGCCATCACTGCTGGGGGAGAGAGGAGGGTAGGGAGGAAGGAAGAGATGCCATTGCCCCACCCAGACCATCCACTGCATACCCCCAAAAGGAGCTCCCTGGCCTGCTGCAACGGCAGCCCCCACCCTCCTCTCCAGGTGCTGCCACATGGAGTCTCCTCCCTGCTGGCCACTGGTGGTGGCTGCCATCACTTCTCAGGTCAGATGTGGAGAGAGCTGGATCCTCACACCTCTCATTCCACGCTTGATCTCGCAAGCTGTGAGCTGCTCATTCCCCAGAGGTCCTTATTAACTGCACTTCTCCTGCTCCAGCTGTGCCTCTCCATTTTTGGGTATATTTTCCAATGACCAGGGAAAACTGCTTTGCTCTCATGAGGCCCTCAGTTCACTCTTGCATTACAACCCCTGCTGTACTGAACGCAATTCTCCTTGATGGGCACAGTGCTCTGATCCATGGGGCCCAAGCAACACAATGTAGGGGGCAGATAGCTAGAGAAGGGCATATCTCTGCTGTTTAAAGGCAAAACTGCTCTATAAAAAAACACTCAGATACCTGCTACCTACAGGGAGAAGCTGTAGCACCTCCCATATAGGGGAAGATACCCCTGTGTGCTGGCTGATTTGGCCTATATAGGGGCAGGATGTACAGGGGCTGAATTTCTCTAGTAAGAGCCACTCTGCAGAGGAATGTTCCAAGGTGTAAAAGGGGGTGGAGCTCCAGCCTATACACAGGCATAATTTTCCTATGGAGAGTGCAGCCTTTTTCTCTGGGAGGAGAGGGCCTGTAAGAATTGATCTGGCTTTCCATTTGAGTCAATGGCAACTTTCCCACTGACTCCTATGGTAAAGGATCAGTGTCTTGTAGAGGTTCTAGCACAAGCAGAGGAGGGTGGGGTGGAAATCAGATATTAGAAGGAGCTCTTGGAAATTGAATGAGACCAAGTCTCCACTCTGCATATAGAACCAAATGTAAACGTATATAGGTACAGAAATATATTGCATAGGTGCTGTCCAGCATATAGAAATCTAGGACTCAACACAGTCTGAAGAAGTGAGTTGGGAACCTATTCTGCTGCTTGAATCTGTAGTGAAAGGAGTCCCCTGGGAGACACTGTCTGAACACTAGAGTCCATATACTGCACGCGAAAAACCATTAAAAGAAAACTTTATTTCCTGTTATTCTTAGCAACTCTCATGTGTGTGGATTTATTTGTCTCTGGCTTTCATTTTATCTAATCCTGACCTACAGCTTGTCCTGGGTTCCCCACACAGCTCTGTCCATACCCCTCAGTCCTGCCCTGCAGACCCTTCCTCTTTGCAGCTCGGAGAAACCCATTCATCATTAAGAATGTACTGTACCTTGCTGATGAGGATGTCCCATAGTCCAGCTGAAGAAAGGGAGGGGGTGTTACGCACCCTTTCACAGTCTGGGCAGAGGTCCCTGAGCCATTCCAGATGGCTGTCAGGAGAGTGCATATAAGCACAGTTCCAGCCAGCACTGGTTCTCCTGAGGTTGGGTTGTGCACAGTGAGAAGTGCCAGAACAACAATTAAACAGGTGTCCCAGAGCTCTTAGATGATTTGTTTTCAAGCTAGAATAACAGGGTGTGATTTGGGGCCAGAGGGCAGATACCCACCTCCTGCAAGCCAGCTGAATTTGCTCATCCTTCCCCTGAGGTCACTGGATGCCACTGACTAACAAACCCCAAGGTAAAACTGCTAGGTTATGAATTGTGGCATCTCATTCCTTCCATGTAGCAGCTGCAAAATTTTGCCCTGCAGAGGGAACCAGTGTCACTAGTAAAGCCATCGCTGGAAGGAAGCCATGGCTTTTTTCTGCTGGCATTGATGCCAGCTGGGCTCTCCTCTTCTGCCCTGAAGAACACCAGGATTCCCATTTCCCCATCTCCTTGTGTATCTCTCGCTCACTCTCTGTCACCCCCCTCTCCTTTGTTCTGTCTCTGACATTTTTATTCCAGAAATGGCTGAGAGAAAAATGAGGGGAAGAGGAGGAGAATGGGCTGGCAAGGGGAGAAAATCTTGTCATGGGACAGGCGTAGAGCAGTGCTTGGCCAATGCTACTGCTCTTTTCATAGACTTCATAGATTTCATAGACATTAGGGCTGGAAGGGACCTTGGAAGATCATCAAGTCCAGCCCGCTGCCCCAGGGGCAGGAAGTCAGGTGGGGTCATAGGCTCCCAGTAAGAAAAACATCCAGGTTTCTCTTGAAGGCATTCAAAGTAGGTGCTTGAACCACCTCTGGTGGCAGTCTATTCCACACCTTGGGGACTCAGACAGTAAAGAAGTTCTTCCGTATGTCCAGCCTGAAACGGTCTTGCAGGAGTTTATAACTGTTCGACCTCGTCATCCTTTGGGGTGCTCTGGTGAACAATCATTCCCCCAGATCCTAGTGAGCACCCCTGATAAACTTGTAGGTGGTCATCAGATCACCCCTGAACCTGCGCTTTTTCAAGCTGAAGAGTCCCATAGCTCTCAGCCTCTCATCATAAGGTCTGTTTTCCTGACCACTGATCATGCGTGTGGCTCTCCTCTGCACTCTCTCAAGCTTCTCCACCTCCTTTTTGAATTGTGGAGCCCAAAACTGGATGCAGTACTCCAGCTGTGGCCTCACCAAGTCCGAGTACAATGGGAGAATGATGTCCTGGGATTTGCTTGAGAAGCATCTATGTATGCTATGGTTTTGCTTGCTTTACTAGCTGCAGCATCACATTGAAGGCTCATGTTCATCTTGTGGTGAATCCTGACCCCCAAGTCCCTCTTGTCCATAGTGCTAGTCAGCGTAGCACTGCCGAGCCTATAAGGATGCTGCAGGTTTTTCCTGCCAAGGTGGAGAACCTTGCATTTTTCAGTGTTAAACACCATCAGGTTCTCATCCACCCATTTCATGAGTTTGTCAAGGTCTGCCTGTATCTCCCTCCTGTCCTCAGGTATGGATGCTTTACCCCAGAGTTTGGTATCATTGGCAAACTTGGCCAGTCCGTTTTTGACACCAATGTCCACATCATCAGTGAAGATGTTGAATAATATAGGCCCAAGGACAGAGCCTTGAGGGACCCCACTGGCCACAGGGCACCACAACGATTAACTTCCATCAATCACCACCCCCTGGGTCCAACCACAGAGCCAATTCCCCAGCCAGGGGATCGTGGTGGACCCAAGGCTACAGTTGGCCAGTTTTGCCAAGAGGTGATCATGGGATACCAGATCAAAGGCTTTTTTAAAGTCAAGATATATGACATCAAACTCCTCCCCCTTGTCCAGGTGATAGGTCACCTAGTCATAAAAGGAGATAAGATTGGTCAGGCATGACCTACCTGCAACAAACCCGTGCTGGCTATCCCTCAGGGTGTTGCCATCAGCTAGCCTGTATATGTTGGCCTCTTTGATAATCTTTTCTAAGACCTTCCCCAGGATAGAGGTCATGCTGATGGGCCTGTAGTTTGCCGGATCCACTTTCCTCCCTTTCTTGAAGATTGGCACCACATTGGCCTTCTTCCAGTCTTCAGGCACTTCACCAGAGTGCCAGGAGTTTTCAAAGATCTGTGCCAGGGGCTGGGCTATGATTCTTGCCAGCTCCTTGAGTACCCTGGGGTGTAAGCTGTCAGTGCCGGTGGACTTGAAGGTGTCCAGCCTCTCAAGGTGTTCCTCCATGAGGTCAGCATTGATGGAGGGCAAGGAAACACCCTCACTTAGGCGTCCCTGTCCTGTAATGTGCCGGGGAGTCCCATGGGACTTGTGAAAGTACGACACAAAGTATCCATTTAGTAAGTTGGCATTTTCCTGGGCATTGGTCATCAGTTCTCCCTTCTGGTTTAGCAGGGGTCCAGTGATGCCCTTGCATTTCCTCTGGCTCCCCACATATCTAAAAAAGGACTTTTTATTGTCCTGGATACTTGTAGCCAGTTGGAGTTCTGTCACAGCCTTGGCTTTCCTGGTTCGCTCCCTGCAGGTCCGGATCAGTACAGTATATTCCTCCTTGGAGGTGGATCCCATCCTCCATCCTTTGTAGATCTGTCTTTTTAGACACAGGGGGACTGCTAGTTCCTTGTTGAGCCAAGGGGGCTGCTGTGCCCTCTTGCTGCCTGTCCTCTGAGACGGAATAGCCTTAGCTTGTGTGTCTAGGATCACTCCCTTGAGGAGCAACCACTCTTCCTGGACTCCCCTCCCCTTGGGGTCGTGGTCCCTTAGGGCCTCACTTACAAGTCTCCTGAGCTTGTCAAAGTCAGCCCTCCTGAAGTCAAGGCCCTCTCTACTGCTTCCCACCTATGCGTAGCTTGCCCTGGAGTTCCAACATAGCTTGACTCCCCCAGCTTTGCCAGTGGGAAACTGCACTTTTATGAGGCTTAGACATGAGGACTCTCTGTCATGGAGTGGCTCATGTTATGTTCTGTCAGATCTGCAGGCAGCTAGCCAGTGCCTGACCCCTTGACTGCATGATGGCTGCACAGCATACAGGTGACTCGACTACATGAATTCTTTGTTGCAGAGACAGGAAGCTCACAGTCCCAGATGGTGCTTGCATCACCTCAGGGTGTTCATACCTCAGCATGGTTTTGGGCAGAACCATTTTGAGATGTCCATGCACAGAAAGGCTTTCCTCAGCTGTGGGCAAATCTTGGAAATTAGCCCTGTACCTGGAACCAATGGCTCCCAGGGAATTTCAACATGTGACTCATGGGACAACATTTGGATCACCAGCGACCTCCACAATGCAGTGGCTTCCACTCCAGTGGGTAGAGTACAATGGCAAAGGGCACTGGCTCTGCTGGACCTGTTGTATGGCTCCTTTGATCCATGTCTGTAACAGGCTAAGAGTGACCACAACCTTGCTCAGAAAATAAATGATATTTGCACAAAGCCATACAGGTGTTGCTGAGTTTCAGGGTATGCTCGCTGCATTGGTTGTCTGTGGTATATGACCTGCACACTTGTCAAAGCATGTGCTCTGCTTGTACCTCTCTGCAAGAGATTGAGGTAAAGCACAAGGTGTTGTGGTGGAGTGTGTGCATGCATTGCACTGGGATGAAGGAGCTGCGGGTTCCAATCCTGGCTCTTACACTTTTCAAAAGCAAAATATTTAAAGTGAATTGTGAAATGATGGTCTTAAGATTCATAGATTCATAGATGTTTGGGTTGGAACGGACCTCAGTAGGTCATTGAGTCCGACCCCCTGCCCTGGGCAGGAAAGAGCACTGGGGTCAGACGACCCCAGCTAGGTGCTTGTCCAGTCTCCTCTTGAAGACCCCCAAGGTAGAGGAAAGCACCACCTCCCTTGGAAGCCCATTCCAGATTCTGGCAACTCTTACTGTGAAGAAGTTCTTTCAAATGTCCAATCTAAATCTGCTCTCTGTCAATTTATGACCATTGTTACTCCAGGGGGTGCCCTAATATATAGAGCATCTCCTATTCCCTTGTGCCCTCCCCTGATGAATATATAGGCAGCGAAGGCTGAAGAGATCTAGGTCCCTCAGTCTCTCCTCGTAGGGTCTTGCCTGCAGGCCTCTGACCATACGAGTGGCCTCCTCTGAACCCTCTTAAGATTCGCCATATCTCTTTTAAGGTGTGGTGCCCAAAACTGGATGCAGTACTCCACCTGCGGCCTGACCAGTGCCGCATAGAGGGGAAGCATCACCTCCCTGGACCTGTTCATCATGCATCTGCTAGTGCACGATAAAGTGTAGTTAGCCTTGTTGATCACTTTGTCACATTGATGACTCATGTTCATCTTGGAGTCAACTATGACTCCAAGATTCCTTTCCACTGCTGTGCTTAAAGTCTGATTGGACTTTCAAAAAAACATTCAACAAGGTCTCTTACCAAAAGCTTTAGAAAAACTGAATAGCCACAGGATTGGGGGGAAGCTTGTTTCATGGACTGAGAGCTGGTTAAAAGGTAGGAAGCAAAGGGTAGGGCTAAATGGTCACATTCAGGATTGAGGAAGGTCAGAAGGAGGTCATGCAGCGATCTGTGCTGGGGCCTATTTTGTTCAACATTTTCATCAATGATATGGAAATGTGGGGGGAGGTCAATAAATCTCCTAGTTTGCAGATGATACCAAATTATTCTGGGTAGCCAAATCCCATACTAACAGAGATGAGCTGCAGAAAGACCTCACCAAGCTAAGTGACTGGGCAAAAAAGTGGCAGATGAACTTCAGTTTTG